ATTCAGCACCTTAAAATAACTTACAGAAAAACTCTCATTCTCTCTCACTCCCTGTACCCCCAGCCTGCCTGGATTTACATTCCCGAAAAGACTGGTCACAAAGGATCATTTCCCAGTTTAGCTACCTTAATGACCAATTTCTGGCTCACCTCCTGATTTTGAGATCAGTTTCCACTTTAAAAACAAAAGGGCTTTCAAGAAAAATACTAGTTCAGTTTATAAACAGAGATTGATATAAAGTCACTACGGGTAAAATGTAGGAGATCTCAAAATGTTGTAACACATAACCCATCCTTCCCTTGGTGGGGCAATTCCACAAGTCACAGAAAAATATTTTTCATTTTAGAACAGATTGTAAGAGAGCTTTTGCCAAGAGCCAGTTGTTTAAATTTTCAATTGAATTTTAAGCAGTATTATACACGTCCAAGAAGATCATGCTATTTTTAGCTAATAGGTAGGATTGCTGTGTCCACAATCGTTTGGAGCAATCAGGAGTGAAACCATTAAATAGCATCTCTCGCTGTGGTATCTTATCATTTACCAATTCTATTTCTATTTTAATATTTTCCAAAGCCTCATGATAAAAACACCTGTAAAGCACCCATGCTAGGCACAATACAAAGTTCAAATAGAACGACACGGTTCCTATACTTCATTATGGGTTAAACCCACATTAAGCAAACCAGATATATGAAAGAATCGTGGCTGGGCACTATGGCTCACGCCTATAATCCCAGTGCTTTGGGAGGTCAAGGTGGGAGAACCACTTGAGCCAGGAGTTTGAGGCCAGCCTGGGCAACATAGTGAGACCCGTCTCTGTAAATAAATTAACAAATAAAAAAAAAGAATCTCACGGTTAGAGCATTCTCAAGTTGCCACCAGCCTTTAAGTGTCCAGGGGAGAAACATTAGGAAGCAATTGTCCTAACCCATCATCTTTCCAATGCTTGTACACCTTTTATGCATTAAAAGAAGAGGGGTAATGAAAATGTTCTAGGTCAGAAGCAATGGCTCATGCCTGTAATCCCAGCACTTTGGGAGCGTGAGAAGGGTGGATCAGTTGAGCTCAGGAGTTCAAGACCAGCCTGGGCAACATGGTGAAACCCCATCTCTACTAAAAATACAAAATTTAGGCTGGACATGGTGGCTCACACCTGGAATCCCAGCACTTTGGGAGGCCAAGGCAGGAAGAATGCTTGAGCATAGGAGTTTAAGATCAGCCTGGGCAACATGGTGAAACCCCATCTCTACAAAAAATACAAAAATTAGCCGGGCGTGATGGTGTACATCTGTAGTCCCAGCTACTTAGGAGGCTGAGGTGGGAGGATGGCTTGAGTCTGCATGGCAGAGGTTGCACTACTGCACTCCAACCTGGGCAACAGAGCCTGACCCTGTCTTGCGCACACACAAAAAAAGTTCTAAAACTTACTGTGGTGATGGAGGCACAACTATACCTAAAAGCCACTGAAGTATATACTTTAATGAGAGACTTGCATGATAAATGACTTATATCTCAATAACACCATTTTAAAAGGGAGAAAAATTGTCTTACTCTGATTGTTCTAATTAGTCAAACCTATTTTATTAAGCTCTCGTGCTAAAGGCTATCTAAGTACAGACTGCACTGGTTTGGCAAGGGTGCCTCAGAGGCCACCACGGAGATCACTTTAACCTTCCCTTTAACATCCATCTTTTTTTCCAACACACTTTTCCTAGTCTCTCCTGTTATTTCCCCAGTCTCATTCCTGTTGCTCCTCCACTCTTTTTTTTTTTTATTTTTTATGACGAAGTCTTGCACTGTTACCCCAGCTGAAGTGCAATGGCATGATCTCGGCTCACTGCAACCTCCGATTCCCAGGTTCAAGCGATTCTCCTGCTTCAGCCTTCCGAGTAGCTGGTATTACAGGCACCCACCACCACACCTGGCTAATTTTTTGTATTTTTTAGTAGAGACGGGTTTCACTATGTTGGCCAGGCTGGTCTTGAACTCCTGACCTAGTGACCCAACGGCCTGGCCTCCCAAAGTGGTGGGATTACAGTTGTGAGCCACCACAGCCGGCTGCTCCTCCACTGTTAACTAGGTGTTAGGTTCCTCAGGTGTTCACAAGCATGGTCTGTCCCAACTGGTAGACCTCAGGATTAAACTAATTGCTGACCCTCTGATGCTGAACCTCGGCAACTTTCCCTTCTTAGGCAAGTTATGTCTTGGCTCTTTTGTCACTGTTTCAGTATTTCCAATGAGGAATTGGGCCACTTAATACTTTCCAGGTCTCACATTCATGTGAAAAAAAATCCAAATAATGAACACTTACTTGGTCAATCACATGCAAAGTCTCTTGCCAACCCACATACATACATATATTTGGATTATTAATTTTGTAAATACCCACCATGATGCAAATCCTCTGAAGAACCACACTTATTTATAAACTGGTCAACATGGAGTCCTTATTTTTAAAAACTAGCACTTTTTCAAAGAAAATTTAGAGTCCAACAGAGAATGCTTGACAGTCCCTCTGGACTAGTCTCCAGGGATCTGTTTTTAAAGGGGAAAAAAAAACCTTCTGCGTGTTGGGGACTTGCTGGATTTACCAAACCAAAGGAGGAAGTAAGATTGACTGAGGTGGCAGAGCCTTCACAACAGTGGTTCACCTAAATCCTAAGAGAAGAAAGGCCTTGTTTGGCAAGCGGTAGAAAGAATTAGCATAAGACAGCACCTCAACCTACATTATGAACTCTCAGAAATATGCTCAGAGATCAATAAACACTGCAGGAATCCCCTTACCCTGGACAACTTGCAGCTTTTTATGCAAACCAGTTGCATTCCCCAATAAGTCATAGAAATATGTAGTCACTAGTTTCCAGCATACCCCCACCACACACATTCACAGTATTGTTTCCATGTGCCCAACATCAGAGAGCAAAACCGAAAGAAACATCAATTTCTCCTACAACATACACACACAAATATGCAAGAAAAACCATTTCTTAGCAGAACCTGTGTTGTCTAAGTTGTGGGCACGAAATGCATAAATATTCGTTGCTAATAAAAACCAGACGGTTAGCTCTGTATTGGAAAGCGAACAGCACACACATAAATCATAAAAAAAACAATAACCCCAAGGTGCGTTCCCCATCAGTAAGCTGAAAACCAAACAAGGAGAGAAATGACTCAAAGTGTCCATTTGCATCCCTCTTTCCCATTACCTCAGACCAACAAGCTCTTTCTCCGGTGAGTTACCTCCCTACACTTTTGTCCCCGATCAGAAGAGCCTCGCGGAAAAGGTCGCAGGCCCTCTCTTCTTTCCCTTCAGGCTCTTAAGGCAGTGGAGGAGCATGGGGGGAGGGGAACGGAAAGGACAAAGGTAGGCGCTTTCAATCTCTCTAGGCTTGGCTACAGGGCTCTCAGCCGCTCCCCTTCTCATCGCGGAACTAGAGCACCTGCCAGGGAGAGGTCAGTCCCTTCCTCCACCTTAATAACCGGCCCACAGGGCCTTGGTGTCCCAGGAGCCCAGGCGCTGCAGCCCTAGGGGACAAAGAGGAGGGGGAGGCGAAAGAAGTCGGGAATGGTACGAATCCCTGGCAAACAAAAGGGAGGGGGCAGAATACCAAGCCGGTCGCGGCTGTTCCCAGAGGTGGCCAGGTTGGATGGAGAAATGCGTGTCGGGGGAGGGGAAGATTTAGAAAATTCCTCTGGGGCAAGGGATTAGGGAGCTGCTTGGGGGTGCAGCAGCCGGCAGGAAGGGGGCTGCGACAGGACGGAGGCTCTGGGGCGAGAAGGTGGCACAGCTCGCGGTGGGAGAGAGGTGGTGGCCAAGAGGTGAAGGCCAGACTGGGCCCAGTGTGGGGTGAGCGGGGGCTGAGCCCCGCTCGGCGCTCCGAGGGGCCTTGAGGAGGGTCTCAGAAGGAGGTTGGGGGCACGCGACGAAGGCATTCGGGGGAGAGGGCAGAGTTGGGGGACGCAGTGTTGGAAAAGAGGCTGAGAACAGAGTTGTAGAGAGGTTAGGGGGACTGCGAGAGGGCCTGACCCCCGTCCGCCCCACCTCACCTGGCGCCGGGTTAGAGTCCAGGTCTAGTGCTGAGAAAGCGCCAGCTCCGGCCGGTCCCTCTGCCCCGCGCGGGAGACCACGGACACAAAGCGGGGCGCGCGGGAGGAGGGGAGGAGAGAGGAGGGGGAGGAGGGAGGAGGAGGAGGAGACGCCTGAGGCGCGCGAGTGGGGGAAGGAGGGGCGCCCGCCGCTCTCCGCCTGGGTCAGGGGGCGGGGCATGCGGCTGGAGGCCGCGCTCAGCCGGCCAATGGCCACTCCGCCGGCCCGCAGGCTAGGGCGCGCCTTCCCGCGGCTCACCTCCGCACCTGGGCCTCGGTTGGCCCCAGCCAATCAAACGCCTTTATTTGTGTGAGCAGCCCCGCCCATTCGCCCCAGCCTAGGACTGCTCACAGAGAATACAAAGAAGGCCACCCGGAGGGGAGGGAGTCGACCCCAGATCGCCTACCCCAAGGGCTGAGTATCACCTTTTCGGCGCGCTTATGGGTCTTTCACAGTCTTTTAGATGAGGGGAGTGGAGTGGGGGTCGCAGAGGTTTGGCTCAAGATCTCTTAAGAGGTCGGATCTCTTCTACTTGAGGTCCTTGTAACCAAGGGCAGCTCTCCTCTTCCAGGGCACGTAGTTCCCAGTCTTCTCCTTTGAGCCCTCCGCCCCCACCCCTTTTTTCAGTCGCCCTAATCTCGGGATGCTGCTTCCCGTAGGCTGCTGCCCACTACTGGCCTTCTCCTGAACTGCAGCCCACACCAGCAGGCTCTGAGCACAGCCTTAATTGATGCTTTCAAACCGCCCAAACCAACCCCTATCCCGAAGGAAAGGGACAGAGGAAGAGGTTACTGCCCTAGGGTAGAAGGGACCCGGTCAAGTGGCTTTGTTACCTAGGATGGCAAAAAGCCAACACATAATAGGGTAAGTCTCACTCCCCCACATTACCTCTTCCCACCTTCCCTTCTCCTACCTTCAGGTCTGTACTGGGCCACGATGGTGACTGACTGGCCGGCCCGTTTCAGAGCAGCTGCAGCCTGCTCATGAGTTGCATTCCTCAGGTTCACTCCATTCACCTGTCCAAAGAGAGAAGCTGTGAGCCACCCCAAAAGCAAGAAGGGGGGTCCTCTGCACTAGTAGTTAGGAGGAGTAACTCTGCTGTAATAATTATCTTCCTAAAGGTCGAATGCCAACCTGCGTTAAGATCTAAGAGGCATTCCTTTCCTCCGCAAAGATCAGTCTGGTCCTGGACCCTGTCACTCACTCAGGATATCTATAAAAACAAGGTAAGTTTTCTCCAGTCCTTAGCCGTCGCCTCATCTCAAGAAGCATTCCTCGGAGGAAGGACTCCCAGTCTCCATTTTAGACTGGCACAGTTCCCATACTCCCACCTCTCCTTTGTCTCCTCACCGATAAGATCCGGTCTCCCCTGCGCAGCTCCCCACTCAGGTCAGCTGGGCCTCCTGCCAGGATGAAGGAGACAAAAATGCCTTCTCCATCCTCTCCTCCTACGATGTTGAAGCCCAGGCCTGTGGAGCCTTTGTGCAGGATGATCTTGCGAGGCTCTCTGGTGGGAAAGGAGTGGAGGAGTCAGGACTAGGTAGACATGAGCTGTTGTACTTTGAGGGCCAGCCTGGAACAAGGTCCATACTTGCCGTAGGGAGTAAGGACGTGGTTCCCTATGTATGATACCCTGAGCCTCCCTTTGTCTCCTGAAACCTGCTTGGCTGCTGTTCTGTCAGGTGCCAAGTTTCAGTTCCTCTTCTCTCCCTTCTTCCTGAGGGCTTGCAGTCAACTTCCCAGTGGACAGTCCCCTACTCTCTCAGGTCAACAAATCCCTGCCCTGAACTCCAGAGACCAAATCTCAGAGCCCACTCACTGGTCCTCTTCCTTCCCATATTCTGCTATCCTACCAACCTGTGTAATGGACCCTGGGCCACAAGAATAGGAAGCAGTTAGGGGTGTGCTGTCACCCTGGGGTTGATGTGCACACTTACTTCACAGATACTCTTCTGCAGTCTCAAAATTCCGCCCATCAGCTATGACCCCTCCTACGTGCTGCCCTAACAACATATTTAATCAGCAGCTAAAACTATGTAGCCACAGGGGCTTGCAGCGCTTGGGCTCTTAGGGGGACCCCAGGTCCCCAAAAGGAGTTTAGAAGCCGAACTGAAGAGAGCAGACAAGTACATGAAAAATGCGAGCAAAACTAACCACATCTAAGGAAGCCCTCCGTAAAAGGTCACAGTGTCATCAGCCCAACTCCCAGCGCACGTTCCCGGCCCATTGCCTTCACTTGTTACAAGCATCTTTACTCGGAGAAGCCGAAAGCCCCAAGCAAGAGTCCTCCTTTCTGCTCCCAGTCTCAGGGGTGAGGCTTCCTCCCTGAGTCCCGGATGCTCTTGCTCCTAGTCCTCCACTCCTACCTGGCATCCCCTCCGGGCCGCAGGGAGCGGAGCGGCCAGGCCCACCTCTGCGAAGCCCTCCTCCAGGCCGAGGCCGAGGCGGAGCCCAAGCCCATGGCCAAGCCGGAGCCCGAGAACTTGACGGCCCTCTCCATAGCTCCTCTGACTCTCCCCCGGCCGCCTACCCTTCCGGCTCCACTGCTGCCTGCCCGCCAGCCTCCGAGGCCCCACCCTGCAAACCTGTCCCCCGGAACCCCGGCCGGCCCGACCAGTTCCAGGCCCCGCGCAGCCGCCGCCGCCGCCGCCAGTGGGGCGGGGCAGTTGCCGGCGAGGCCACCAGGCCGGTCAGAGTTCCGCCAACCCCACTGACTGAACTGCTCTCTTTCCTCATTTGAAATGGTTGCAGCACAGAGGGCTGCAACTATCTCAGGGCAGGAAACTCTGCTGCCCTCACCTCCTCAGCCCCCTAAACGCTCCACCCCATCCTTTATCTGCACTTTTGGACCGGGGCCACTCACTTGGCACTCCCCCTGATGGTAGAACTTGTCTCTGCAGCCACCTCTGTCCCTCTCTAGGTCCCTAAGGCCTGAGAGAGGGCCTCGGATCCCAAAACCGGGAGTGATGAGGGCCTTATCCTCTTTGCCATACTACAAGGAAGGCTGTGGCCGGCCAGCAACGGATTCCTCCCCTCCCCCACTCCCGGGTAGATTGAATGGGGCTTTGTGGGGGGGGGGGTCTTACCTGGTGAAGTCCTCCTCAGCCAGCATATGCCTGGGAATAGGAGAGTAGCGGGTCGGGGGAACCTGAGGAGGAGCAGGGTAGCTGACCTTGCTCTCCACAGCCCCGAGATAACCCAGGCTGGAATTATGGCTTATGTGGTTGTCAGCCAAGGCAGTAAAAGCTGGAATCGAGAAAGGGAGAGAAAAGTTCAGAGACTGCTCCAGGCAGGTTCCCCAAACCCCTCCTAGGACTTCCCCCCACACCTCCATTCAGGTGCAAAAGAGACCGAGGGATGCTGATTCCTCAGGCCGCACCTCCCCACTCCATCCACCCGCCACCCAGGGTTCCTCCTCCGCAGTCCCTTTCTAAATCCTTGGCTCACTCCTGTGAGTCTTAGAAAGAGCTGAAGTCAAGGCAGTCTACAAAGAAAGGCATGACTAGAAGTGTGACTAATAATAATCCCTCACATCTCTATAGCCTAATACAGTTTTCCAAGGGCTTTCTCGTCCATGATCTCATTTGATCCTTGCAGCAGTCCTATGAGGAAGGCAGCACATACATCGTTAACTCCCTTTTGCCAAAGAGGAAACAAAAGACCGGTGAAAGGGACTTGTCCAAGGGCACCCAGCTCGAAGGGACAGAGCTGGGATTTGGACTCAGCTTTGAGCACTATCCTCTGCAGCTTCTCTCTCTCCTCTTTTTAAAATTCACTCTCTGTAGAAATTGTCAAAAATTGCCAATACTAACTCTATGGCAGGTCTTCATGGTGGGGTACCGAGCAAAGTTTTCAATTAGCAATAATGGCGCTCAGATAAACTTTATGGGCTGCTACGATGCCACCACTGAGCAAAGCTGCTTGCTCTCCCTTAACAAGGGATATGAACTTCTTCCCCTCCAGAAACCAGGGGACAGAGCTTTAGTTCAGGGACAGGGGCTGATGAGTACGTACTGCTGGCGTAGTCCGGGGGAGCGTACATGTCATTGAGGTGGAGACTGCCTGGCTTGGCCACCTTCAAATATACCATATCAGATGTGTTCTTCAGTGAGGCCACAGCTTCCTCGTGCCTCACATCCTGCAGATTGGTGTTGTTCACCTAGAAGAGGAAAAGCCTCAGGCTGGGACTTCCAGGGAATCTGAGGGATGCCCTTTCAGTGAAATTCAACAGTGCTAACAGAGGCCCAAGTATAGTGCTGTGAGGAGCAGAGGCAGGAGGCAGGGGATAGGGCAAGTGAGGGGACCCCGGCCACAGAAAGAAGTAGGGTCTTTGAGTCTGGGCAAACACAACACAGATGATAACTCTTGAAATTCCCCCATGATGCCTCATCCCTGAGTGAGGTTTAGGCGGAGTGAGGGGTGCTGGAGCTCCTCCTCCCTACCCTACAATTTGGGCATCCCCGTGAAGTCTGTCTCACCGCCAGCAGCCGGTCCCCGATCTGTAGGCGTCCATCCTTCTGAGCAGCACCCCCCTCAATGATCTTGGTGATGTAGATGCTGTTGTCTCCTGGGATGTGCTGGTTGCCAATGCCCCCAGCAATGCTGAAACCCAGGCCTAAGCGGGAGCCAGCAGGGGGTGGGAGAGGACCACAAGGAGAGGTTAAAGTGTTGTTGATCCCAAATCTAAGCCCCCTCCCCCAGCCAACACACTGGCCCCACAGGAGCTCCCCCGGGGAATCCCAAATGCTAAGCTGCCATCCCGAGATGAGTAAGGGTGAGGCCTGAGGTCTAAAAAGCAGGCCGTGAGTTGGAACAGGGGGAAGTCAGGCAAGGAGCAAGGCCATTCCCTTCCAATTCCCTATGGGGGGCTGATGGGATCTGGGGCCTAGGGCTCCGACTAGAGCACAGGAACCTGGAGGGCCGCACCTTTGGGCCCTTTGAGCAGATTGACCTCCATGATGGTCTCAGGTGGGGGCTGTCGCCTCCGCACCACCAATCGCACCACAGGGCCTGCCTCCTTCAGCGCCTCCACCGCCCGGCTGTGCACCACCTCCGACACGTCCACCTCATTCACCCGCAGCACACAGTCATTCACCCTGCGGGGGAAGCCCAAGAGGCATGACACTGTGCCCTCCCAACCCCTCTCCCACTTCTTCCCACTTTTCTGTCCTCCCCTTCTCTGTCCCCTCCCCTCTCAGATCTGATGGAAGGGTCATCCTGCCAGGCCAGCCCTCCTCCCTCCTCTCATCTCTAACCTGTCCCTGCCACCCACAACCCTGCTTCCAGGCCATCTCACCCCAGCCTCCCATCCATGGCAGCTGCTCCACCAGGGATAATCTTGGTAATAAAGATGCCAGGGTCATCAGGGACATGAGGATTGTCGATGCCACCTGCGATACTGAAGCCCAGGCCAGAGTTGCCCTGCAGAAGTGGGTGGAAAGGCACAGTCTGTTCACTCTGAAGGCTCAAAGGAGAGTTCCGGGTACCTTATCTCCCCTTATGTCCCAGAGCTAGTCCTCCAGGCCTCAGAAGGGGTCATGGCAGGCTGGGCACATTTGTCAGAAAACCAGGCTCTGCTAACCATTCCAGGAAACCCGTCCCCTTCCCAGTTCCCCAGGCCTCAGTGAACAAGGTCAATTATTTGTTAGTGGTTGATTGATTGATGCATCAAAGCGGCCTCTGAGGGCCACTGTTTCTCCATTCTCTTAATGCAAGTCCCCCCATGGGTCTTGAAACCATGATTCAGGTGTCTCCCCTCTCCTGGCTCCAACCCTCTCCTCCCCTTTCTGCCTCTCCCCACTGGCAGACTCACCCGCTCAAGTACAATTTCCTCATATTTGAACATGCCATCGCTGCCATTCACCTAGAGGGAGACACAGGCAGTTCTCTTAGTGCCCTCTGCCCTCCCAGCCATCTGCCCCTTGGTCAACCTGCCTCCTCCCCTACTCCCACAGAGTACAGGAGCCCAAGTACACCCCAGGTCACCTCTTGGCCACAGATGAGGACAGGCTGATCTGGAAGAGGCCGCTCCCCACTCACCCCCCCCCCCACCCACCCCTGCTTTGCTTCCAACCATATCAGGGCAAACCCAGCCGCTCACTCAGCCCAGATCAATTGTCTGAGACTAAGCCAGCCAGTGGTGCACTCACCAAGAGGCTGGGCTTCAGGGCATCAGGGTTCACTAGGAGGGGTGCAGGGTTGGCCTAAGGGGGATGGCAGAGATGGAGCATGGAGGGCAAACCATGCCACACCCAGTGTCCATAGGGGATACCCAGTGGCCTCCCCTTCTGAACCACAGTTCTCTCTGACTTGGGGATCATAGATTCCCACTGTGTCCAAACTGAAAGCACAGCAGACATCATCTTGTCCAACCCCCTTCATGTGACAGAAGGTGACACTGAGGCCCAGAGAGGACATGGGATGTGCCTAAGGGCACACTGGGAGTTAGTGGCAGAGCAATGGGATCTCTAGGTGTTCTTTTCATTACTGTACGCTCTTAGGGCCACTGATGCTTTGATCACTCATCCCTGTCCCCCAACAGAGCTCATGGGAAAAAGGACAGTTGCCCCCCTTTAGAGCACCTCATGAATCTTCACTCTACACCTCCTTCTTGGACTCCAGGAACCCAGTTCCTCAAATAGGCAGAAGCAGTCAAAGTCCTAATCCATTTTCTACCAAGGGACTTTTGGTCTTGAGCCCTTTGTGTTTCCCAGCAGAAAGGGCGAGGGTGGGATCTGGTCAGGAGTCAGAGCCAAAGCCAAGGGTGGGACTGGAGCGGGGTGGACAAGACTCCCCATGAGGGAGAAGTCAGTGACCCACAGACTGACTGGCAGCAGAGTCCATGGTCTTCAATATGCAGTATCCATGAGAGAAGAGGCAAGGGAAGGGGTCAGAAACACAGGGGTGATTTGACTAACCCACAGAGATGGGCTCCCAGACAGGACATGTGTGTGTCCCTTTGTCAAGTGAAAATGTGATTCTGGACAGACAAGTAGCACCTGCTTGCTGGCTCCCACTCTCATCTCCAAGAATGGAGAAGCCCTCTTGCCTACCTCCTCAGGTATCCTGGCACCCCTCCTCCACCTTTCTCTGGCTATGCTGTCCCTTCCCTTACCTCTGGCCTCCTCCTCAGAAGGGGGAGCTGGAAACCAGGGTTGGGGCTCCTCCATGTCCTGTTCTGCTCCCCCCATCCCACCTCCACCACACACAGCTTTGGCTTCAAGCAGCAGAGAGGAGGAGAGGGGGAGAGGACTAGCTCATCATACCTCCATCATTTCTGGGCCGGCCCTGCAGCTCTGGGAGTTGGTGGGAGGACTCCAGCTGCAACCTTACCCTGGTCTGTGACCCCAGGAGGAAGAACTGAAGGCTCTTTAGAGACCCAAAACCAACACACCTGCCTTAAGTACCATGCAACAGACACACAAGCAAAAGGACACCCATGTGGCTCTTGTGTGCATTCGGTGTACCATATGTTCCCACATGTGACAAGCCATGCCTCAAGCCCAGCCCAACCGGCACCTAGAGGCTTCCAGTTCCCAGTGGTCCACCCTCTAGCCGCCACCCCACCCCTACTCAGGGACCTTGCTCTCAGGCCCAGGAGCCATCCAGGGATCAGCCCTGGCAAAGAAACCTTGGCCAACTGGCGCAGCCTGGGATTGGCACCTGTCTCCCAACCAGGCAGGACAAGCATAAGAGGGTGTTTGCAAGGGAAAGGCCTCCGGGACAGGGAGGGCAAAGGAGAGAGAGGGACTCGCTGGAGAGGGCAAGAGGCCAAGGCAAGGGATGTGGGGAAGCAGTAAGTGTGGACAGACAGAAAGCCAGAACCGACGGCTGTTCTCCCTAGGAAGTCCCCACCTTTGCCTCTGAGTGAGAGCACATCCTATCCCCAGAGGACAGAGGCAGCCAGAACGGTCACCAGCTTGGGGCAGTCATCACCTGCCCTCGACAGCAAAAGCCTCCTCTTCCTCTCTCCCCACCCTGGGAGCTGCAGAGCCGGATAACTAGACAGGCCCTCCGCCTTGCGTGCCAGGGACCTGGCTCTGCCAGCCCAGCCTCCATTTTGCTGCTTCTGCCACAGATGCTCCTTCCATTTTCTAAGCTGGCAGTTTAGGCTGGGAGTGGAAGCCGGAGTTGTGCCCAGCACCCAGGGGCTCCCAAGCTGTGCCAAGTCAGGGCTGGGGGGCTAAGCTCTCTCACATCTGGAGGTACCCAAGGGAGACATGCCCCACTGGGGCCAGTCCCTGCACCAGGGCAGCTGCCCCTTGCCAGGTCCAGGCACCATGCCTGCTCTAGAGCCAGGAAGCTTGCTTCAGTTCCTTCAAATCCCCCCCACAACCCCAGCACACACACTTCAGAGCTGCTTGGACAAAAGAGTCCGTCCTTCTCAGCAGCCTCTCAGCCTTGCTTGGGACGTGTCTCTCGCCTCCTTCCCCTCCCCTCCCTTGCCTGTCAAGCGCCTCTAACCAGACACAGACACAGACACACACACACACACACACACACACACACACACACACACACACACCAGACACACGCGTGCACATTTGCAGCCACATGCTCACACACATATACATGCAGCCACACACACAAACACAGCCACCCCTGCAGCCTCCTCTACAGAGACGTCTCCACATTTAGAGAGACATCTCCACATGTCCATGTGCACATCCACACACAAAGGGACTGGGATGGAGAGGGACTCATGGCATCGAGGGATGAAGCTCAGCAAGCTGGGCACATGGGCTCCTCCACACGGATTCACAGCAGCTCCATGGCCTTCCTCCACACACCCAACATACATACACACACATATGTCCCCCCTACGCAGAGCACCATGCCCCCTCCTCCCCTCCTGTGCAGACACACACCACACACAGCCCCCGCAGAACCTCCCGCCCCCTGCCAGACACAGAGACATTGCCAAACCCCCACACTGAGACAAACCCAATTCCCCCACACAGGAAAATGTGCTTCTCCGCCATGCCTTTACCCCCTGACACACACGGCTCCTCCCAATCCCCTTCTAATGGAGACCCCCAAACAGACATACTCAGGGAACCACGTATTTCCCACCGCCTCTCTTTGCCCAGCTGCAATGCTAGGGCTCGGGGTCCACAGGCTTGGAGCCCCAGCGACCCCTACTGCACTCCGGTCCCCTAGGCCCCCACTCCCCAGCCCTCCTGGGTTGCCCCACCGCTCCCACCTCCGCTGGTCCATACCTGCTCATACCAGTCCCGATTGGTACAGGTGCACTCGGGCCACCAACTGGGGCCGCTGCCGTTGAGTTTGGGGGTGCTCTTGCCCGGGACCGGCTTAGGAGGCACCGGCCCCACATCCCGGCCGGTGGGGATGAGCTTGGCCTTGGTGCGAGGGGTGGGGGTGGCCCCCGCCTGCGAGGGCAAGGTCTGGGAGCTGTAGCCCCCATAGCCCGCGCTGGCCCCGTTGCCCCCACCTGGCCCATAGGGGTCGGGGACCTGCCAGTCCCCGTAGCCCGGAGGCTCGAGACGCCGCAGGGCTGCCAGGCGGGTCACCTCATAGCACTCGGGGCACTTACAGCAGTGCTGGTGCTTGTGCATGGCACTGCCCCCCGCGGCTCGGACCCCCCAGCCCACGCCGGTTTCCACGCCGCTGCCACCGCCGCCGCCGCCGCCGGGCTCCCGGGCACACTCACACTGCTCGGACCAAGAAGGGGGGGGCACCCGTGGGGGCGCCCGGGCGGAGCGGGGCCTGGGGCCGGGCGGGCGTCCCGGGGCCTCAGCCCCCACGCTGCCCCGCACCCACGGCTCCCCCTCCAGCACTGGCGGCTCCGTGTCGCCCGTCGTGGCTCCTGGGCCGAGGCCCAGCGGCAAAGAAGAAGCGGGAGCCCAAGCAGAGACTGGGTGCTGCGAGGACCGCTTCTGCTCTGGTCCCCAGGATGGATCTGAGTGGAGTCAAGAGCATCTCTCCCTGGCTCCCTTCTCAGTAGATTCCAGCCAATCAGCGCGCAGAGGCAGGCAGCGGCAGCGGCAGCGGCAGGAATGCTAAACAGCGGCTCCTTAAAGGAACAGAGGCAGTGGCGCCCCCAGGCTCAGCCCCAGCTCCCCCGATCTTTGGGGAACTGTCGGCCCTAGGGTGGAGGGAGAGGACGTGGGCCACCAGAGAGCTCAGGCACCCTATCTTGTGCCCTTATATCCCCAATTTTAGCCAGTCCTCTACCCACTCCACCCCACCCCACTTCCAAGAGGGAGTTGCAGGGAGATGCTCAATGGGTCCCCAGGCTTGCTCTGAGCTGGGGCTACCAGAAGTAAAGACAAGGCAGCAGAATGGACAGAAGGGACGTTGGAGCAGGTTGAGGGAGGTGCTTTCCCTTACAGGGGACCAAGGAAGAAGGCCGCATATGAGGCCCACTGTCCTGTCAATGCCTCCTCCACAAGACTATTGTTCTCTCAATCTCTAGGCCCTGAAATTACTGTGACCTCACACTTGACCTTCTACCATCACCAGTAAGGGACTCAACCCTAGAACAGGGATTAACAGAAAGCTTAAGTCCTTGTCCCTGGCCCACAAACCCCTATTTCCTCCACTCCACCCCTGCATGGTTGTGATGGGGGAAGGAACTTCAGGATATCAAGACAAGAGTCCAGGACAGGTGAAAAGGTAAGAAGGGATTTGAAGTGGGAGAAACCCTTCTGTGGGTCTGGAATAGAGCTTAGGAATACTTGTCCAAGGATGTCTCCTTACCCTCTCCTGGCTCAGCTTGTTGGGGAAATGGAGGAAGGATGACGTACAAGAAAGACTATCTTTTTTGCAGTTCTTGTTTTGTTTTTAGCTACCAATTATTGAGTCTTTACAAAGTCCTAAGTGGATAACATGCAAACTCAAATCCTACCAAGCTGGTGCTATTATTATCTTTATTTTACCAATGAGAAATTGAGGCTCAGAGATGTTAACACAGCTAGGTAACACAGCTGGAAGTGACAGAATCAGGATGCAAATCCTGATTATTTGACTCCAGAGTCCATGCTGTGAACCACTCTAGTACGACAGGTCTATTCTAAGTTCTCCTGCGGAATTTACATCTCAGTTCAATTCAGCAAATATTCATTGAGCACCTACTCTGTGCAAGACCTTGACCTAGGTATTAAGGATACAGAATTTTTTTTTTTTAATGAATTCTCATTCTGCCACCCAGGCTGAAGTGCAGTGGTGTGATCTTGGCTTGCTGCAACCTCAGCTTTCCGGGTTCAAATGATTCTCCTGCCTCAGCGTCCCGAGTAGCTACGACTACAGGCTCCTGCCACCACACCCGGCTAATTTTTGTAATTTTTTTAGTAGAGATGAGGTTTCATCATCTTGGCCAGGCTGATCTTGAACTCCTAACCTCAAGTGATCCACCACCTTGGCCACCCAAAGTGCTGGGATTACAAGCGTGAGCCACCTCACCCGGCCCTAAGAGATTTTTTTTTTTTTTTTTTTTTTTTTTTTTAGACAGGGTCTCATTCCATTGCCCAGACTGGAGTGCAATGGAGCGATCTCAGCTCACTGCAGCCCTTGCCTCCTGGGCTCAAGTGATTCTCCTGCCTCAGCCTCCCAAGTAGCTGGGATTACATGCACGTGCCACCACAACGGCTAATTTTTGTATATCTAGTAGAGACGGGGTTTTATCATGTTGGCCAGGCTGGTCTCGAACTCCTGACCTCAAATGATCCCAACCTCCCAAAGTGCTGGGATTACAGGCATGAGCCACCGTGCCTGGCCCAGAGATTCATTCTTAATTCAACAAATATTCATGGAATGCTTGCTATGTGCCAGATACTGTTGTAGGATTTGGGGATATAGCAACAAACAAAACAGAACAAACAACAAATCCCTGCCCTTGGGGAGCTTACCTCTTAGTGAGAGGACACAGACAAAAATATACACAATAAACAAGCGAATTATGTAGTACAGTAAGTCCTCATTTAACATCACTGGTAGGTCCTTGGAAACCGTGACTTCAAGCAAAACGATGTATAAAAAGACCAACTTTACCAAAGGCTAATTAATATAAACAAGAGCTAAGTTCCTCCGGCATATTTCTGATCACAAAAACATCACAACCTTCTAAATAAAGACCTGAAACACTTCTAATATTAAACATTGAAATAAATATGAGCTATGCATACATATAGAAAGATTAATGAAAACAAGTAAGTATTTACCCAATTTTTGGTGAATCAGTGAGTGACAGCATTGGAAGTGGTGGTGGGTTCAATCAAGGAATAAATATATGCAAAATGAAAATTTTGAACCATGCAGTTTAAAACCAAACACAAATATGGTGGGCTCAAGGAGCACTTTCCTACCTCATAGTTTATTGTGCCTGTGTATGATTATCAACTACTTTACAACTTTTTATTTTACAATAATTTGTATCCATCCATCCATCCATCCATTCATTCATTTTTCAATCTGCTTATTTCAGTTCAGGGTCAAGGGTGGCCAGAGCCTATCATAGCAGCTCAGGGTACAAGGCAGGAACCAATCCTGGACAGGATGTCATTCTATCACAGGGTGCGCTCACATACACACCCACACTCACTCACACTGGGACTATTTAGACAAGCCAATTCACCTAATGTGCACTGGGATGTGGGAGGAAGCACAGTACCCTGGAGTACCCGGAGAAAACCCACACATAAATGGGGAGAGTGCAAACTCCACACAAACAGTGGCCCTGGCCAGGAATCGTTTCCCCCCCCACCATCAATGTTATAACAAAATGATGTTGAAGAAAACATTATTCAAAGACCTGCTGTGTATACGGTGATAAGTGCTGTGGGAAAAAAAGAAAAAGTAGAGCACAGTAAAGATGGATTTGGAATGCTAGGGGAAGACACCAAGTTGTGACTTTTTTTCAAGTTTTTTATTCCCACAGTTTAATATGAAAGTTTTCAAACATACAGAAAAATTCAAAGAATTTTACAGTGAACACCCAATTACCCACCACCTAGGATTCTCATTAGCATTGTGCTATGCTTGCTTTATCACATATCTATCCTCCACACATCCTCTCCAACATTTTTGAAAACGAAAATTTAGAAACATAGAAAAATATTGGAGCAATAGTACAATGGACACCACTGTATGCCTTCCTTATCAAGTCAACAATTTGACTTGTTTTGACTTGTTTCATTATATTTGCTCTATCTATCTATCCATCTATCTATATTTTTTGGAGAGTAGGTCTTGCTCACTCACTCAGGCTAGAGTGCAGTGGCATGATCCTGACTCACTGCAACCTCAAAGTCCCAGGCTCAAGTGATCCACACCTCAGTCTCACAAGTGGCTGGGACCACAGCTGTGTGCCCCTATGTCCAGCTAATGCTCTATCTATCTATCTATCTATCTATCTATCTATCTATCTGTCTGTCTGTCTGTCTGTCTGTCTGTCTGTCTATCTATCTGTACCTTTTTCTGAACCATTTACATGTAAGTTTCATTACATGTAAATGGTTCCATTATTCATCTGTAAGTTTTTATAACTTCCTTTAGCCATTCTTTGTCTGCTGGTGACAAATTCTCTTAGCTTTCCTTTGTCTGAGAATGTCTTGATTTCTCCCTCATTTCTGAAGGTTATTTTCACCAGATATTGCATGCTAGAGTACCATGGTGTGACCATAGTTCACTGCAGCTTTAAATCTCCTGGGCTCAAAGTGATTCTCTTGCCTCAGCCTCCAAAGCAGGCTCCTGAGTAGGTGGGACAACAGGCGCACACCATGCCTGGTTAATATTTTTTATATTTAGTAGAGACGTGGTCTCACTATGTTGCCCACTGGTCTCAAACTTCTGGCCTATGGTAATCCTCCTGCCTTGGCCTCCCAAAGTATTGAGATTACAGGTGTTAGCCACTGTACCTGGCCACATTTGAAATCCTTTCCTCTGTAGGTAAGGTGTTCTTTCTCTCTTGCTTCTTTCAAGTTTCCCATCTTTAGTTTTCAGAAGTTTGATTATGATGTGTCTTGGGGTGAATTTGGATTTACCCTATTTGGGGTTTGTTCGACTTCTTGAACCTATTTGTTTATGCCTTTTGCCAAATTTTCAGCCATTATTTCTTGAGTAATTTTTTTTTAGCCCCATGCTCTTTCTCTTCTTCTTCCACATCTCCAATTACCTAAATGTTAAGTCCTTTGTTATAGTCCCAAGCATCCCTGAGGCTCTGTTCATTTTTTTTTCTTGGAGACTGGGTTTCATTCTGTTGCCAAAACTAGGGTGCAGTAGCACAATCACAGCTTACTGCAGCTCTGATCTCCCAGGCTCAGATGATTCCTCTACCTCAGCCTCCCAAGTAGATGGGACTACAGGTGTGCACCTCCACATCCAGCTAATTTTTGAATTTTTAGTAGAGACAGCGTTTCACCATGTTGCCCAGGCTGGTCTTGAACTTCTGGGCTCAAGTGATCTGCCCACCTCAGCCTCCCAAAGTGCTAGGATTACAGGCGTGAGCCACTGAACCCAGCTCTGTTCATTTCTTTTTAAGTATATTATTTTCTCACTGTTGTTCAGATTGGGTGATTTCTAATGTTCTATCTTTATGTTCACTGATTGTTTCCTCTGTCCCCTCCACTCTCCTTTTGAGCCCATGCATTGAGGTTTTAGTTTGGTTATTATAGTTTATTCTAAAATGGTATTTGAACCTTCATTATATCTCATTTCCTTTTCTTTGAAAAACTTGCTATTTTTATTCATTTGTTTTAACCTTGTTTGTAATTGCTCACAGAAGCATTTTTTTTTTTTTTTTATGTTGGTCACTTTAGAATCTTTGTCAGATAGTTGAAATCTGTCATCTTGATTCTTTCTTGTTCAAGTTGAGGGTCTCCTGGTTCTTGGTATAATGCGTGTTTTTTTAATATATATTTTTTAAGACACAGGGTCTCACTATGTGGCCCAGGGTAACCTGGGCTCAAGTGATTCTCCCAACTCAGCCTCCTGAGTAACTGGGACTATAGGTGCTGGGCTTAGATATGGAGTGATTTTTATTGCATCCTGGGAATTTTTGGATATTATAGTATGAGACTCTGGACTTCATTTAAGTCTTTTGTTTTTGGTAGGCTTCTTCTGACACCATTTTCGTCAGAGCAAAGGGCCACTGCCTGGTTACTGCCAGGTAGAGGTTCAAGTTCTAGTTCCCTCCTTGACCTTGGTTGATATGTGAGGTGGGGGCTCCTTTCTACTGTGCAGAGATGAAAATTCCAGCTCCCTACTAGGCCTCCACTGTTGCTTCCCAAGGTGGAAGGGGCAGAAGTACCTTTTTACTGTTCCCCAGGTGGGCTTCCACTAACACCACAGTCAGGAGATGGAGAGATTTGGGGAGGGGAGAGGGAGGCTAGCAACCTCATTAAATGTTGTGGTGAAAGTCCTTACTCACCTCCAGGCCTCCTCTGACACTGATACCACCCAACAGGAAGGGGGTCTTGTCATCTCACTGGGATGGAAGTTTAGGCTCTCTACTCAGCCTTCTCTGACACTACCCCAGAGAGTATGGGGGAGCCTGGCCAGAGTGAAAAGCTGGGTTCTCCACTTGACCTTTGCTGGCTTGGGTGCAGCTGCAGTCTTTTTTCTGTGGGGTGTGGTTGCAGTGGGTGGTTCTTATCCAAGAGTTTTCTGTCTGGCTAAATTGTCCATTTCCTGGGCTTATGGCTAGAGAGAACATGCCAGTTATTGGCGTTTGCTTTTTTTTTTTTTTTTTTTTTTTTGGTCTGTGTCCACTGGCATTTCCAGCCCGCTGGCTTCTCCAGTACCTGGTCTGGAATATTTGAGGCAACAAGAAAACTCAGGGAACTCATCACCTTGAGTTCAGGTCACTGGGGTTTGTAGTCTGCCCCCTTCCTCTTCTTTCACTGTCTTCTTATGTTTGTCTTATACATAGTGTCCAGAGTTTTACCTGTACTTAGTCTGAGGAATAGGGAGAAGTATGTCCATTCTAACTGGGTCCATAACTGGAAGTCTTCCCTCTTTTGTAAAAAAATTAACTACAATGAGTTTTCGAAGAGTACCAGTCAATTCTTTTGGATTTGTCTTTTTCTTCATGGTGTCATTATCTCATTCCTTTATACAGGACTCCCCCTCTTATTCACGGTTTTCACTCTCCATTGTTTCAGTTACCCATGGTCAACTGCAGTCTGAAAATATTACATGGAAAATTCCAGAAATAAACAATTCATAAGTTTTAAATCGTATGCTGTTATGTAATAAAATCTTGTGCTGTCCTGCTCCATCCCACCCAGGATGTGAATCATCCCTTTGTCCAGTGTATCCACACTGCATACACTACCCGCCTATAAATCACTTAGTAGCCATCTTGGTTATCACTTCAGAAAAATATAATATATATAGGATTTGGTACTATCTGCTGTTTCAGGCATCCACTGGGGGTTTTGGAACATATTCTCCATGGATGAAGGAGGACTACTGTTCCCTGTATTTACTGTAAGCTGGAAATTAAAATAGAGGGAATCTTAAATAGGTTGGTCAGGGTAGGCTTCAATGAGAACGTGGCATTTGAGCAAAGAATTGAGGAAGGTGAGGAAGTGACCCATGCAGAAGAGTAAACCTAGCATGGGGAAGACAGTGCAAAGTTCCTGGGTAAGGAGTGCAAAGTGTCCTAGTAAGGAGTGCACCTGGCTTGCTCAAGGAACAGCAAGGTGAATCAAGTGGCTTTAATAGAGTAAGGGAGGGGGAGAATGCCAGGAGATGAGATCAGAGATTTAATACGGGACTAGATTGTGGAGGATCTTGTAGACCATTGTAAAGATTTTGGCTTTACTCTCAGAGAGATGGAGTACCATTGGAGGGTTTTGTGCAGAGAACTGGCATGACGTGACTGGGGTTTAGCAGGATCGGTATAGCTTCTTTGCGGAGAATAGGCCACAGGGGCAAGGGTGGAAGCAGTGAGACTAGTCAGGCAGCTGCTGAAGTGATGCAGCTGAGAGGTGGTTGTGCCTTGGACCAGCGTGGTAGCATGATGACCACCATGATGACAAGTGGTTGGATTCTGGGTGTATTTTGAAGGGAGAGCTGACGGTATTTGCTGACAGACTGGATACGAGGTGTGGTTCCAAGGATGTTTTGCCTGGACAACTGGAAATGTGAAATTGCCATCAACTGAGACGAGGACAGTTTTAGGAGAGGTAATTTTTTGGGGAAAAGGCCAGCTGTTCAGAAATGAACATGTTGAGTTTGGGATGTTTATTAGATATCCAATTGGAGATGAACACAGACCCTGCCACCAAGATGCTCAAAATGAGAGAAATGGAAATATGGAAGCAGGTCATGACCATACCTGTGAAATGTGTTATTTCAGAAGGGTGTATAGAAAAGCAAGTTATCAAGTCTACTTGTTGGAGAGAAGGGGACGTAAGAAAAGTTTCACAAAGGAAATGGTATTTTCAGTTTGGTCCCAAAAGGTGACTAACTGTTCATTAGGCAGAAAAAGGAAATGTATTGTTTTCTGTACTCCTAAACCTGGCACATAGTGATTGCTCAATCAGACCCAATCTAGTCATTATTTTTGTGAGTTTGGACATTACTTAACCTCTGTGAGACTCGGTATTGTGATCTATGAAAAGGAAATAATCACAGTGTTCTTGTGAGGATTAAATGTAGAACACTTGGTACACCGTGTGGTACATAGTGGGTTAGTGTTAATTACGGTCGAATGAATGAATGAATATCTTCCTTAATGACCAAATCTAGGCTAGGCTGGTTACCCAGGAGCTTAGTCTTTTATATGCACAACAGTTTGTCAACAGAGATTGCTCAACTCCTTTCAACCTCTGAACTGTTCTGATTGAAAAATAAGCATTGATAAGCCTGAACTGAATGGAGAGGGTCAAACTACCCTCCTCAGGCCCCATCCTCCCTCACCCCCTTTTATGCCCTGTCCCCTTTAACAGGTTCCTTCCTCCCTTCCTCCCACCCTTCCTCTCTCTTGATTTTTTAATGATTGTGAGCAAAATCCCTTCAGATTCATAGTGAGCTTCTCCTCATTCCGTAGGCTCCCTGCCGCTCAGACTGGACTGGGTTGACAAGGCTGGGAGGAGGTCAGCCACGCTGAGACAGTGTGACACTTTACTAGGGAACCTCCCTCCCAACTGCTAGGGCTCCAGCCTGAGACCCCAGGAAGACAGTCGCCCCCTACGGACCAAAAGCAGCCCCACGCCGGCGGCAGGCGGCTCTGGTTGCTAGGCGACCAGGCGATGGAGGACTTCAGGAAGGGATTTTCAAGCAGAGAGACTATTTCTCTCCTTTCACCGCCTCTCCTGCTCCTTCAGCAAATAGACCGGGCTGGGACCGCGCGGTCCGCTGTTGTCTGATAGGCTGGGCTCATTCTTGAAAACAGAGCTTCACTGGAGACCTCCGTATTGTGTGTGGTGAAACGATCACTCTTGCCCCAAATGTGGTTTCATCTGGGGGCTGGAGACTGAAGGCGGAAGTTTCTGATTTGCAAGGAGGGGAGGAGCACTGTCGTGGGTGTGCACCCTTAGTCAATGGGAATTCTAGCAAATCGAGCTTGCGTGGGAATAATTTTGATCAGTCCATCAAGATTTCCCCACGATTCTCAATGTATACATTAGGAAACTCTTACGTTCGCCCATTAAAATAAAAAGGTCCCATGGGAATGACAATATATAAAGGATCATTCATACCTCATTGGGGACAAGTTTTCAGTTGCTTTCATGAATTTGGTTTCTCTACAGACAAGGGAGAGATCATGAGGTCTGTGAATCCCTGCGAGTAGGGACAGAGCCCAAGAAAATGTAAAGAAATAAAAAGAATGGTGGGGTGGCGGTGTGGTAAACACAGAATATGGCAGCTTCTGAGCTCTGTGTCTGGTTTGGGGATCCGCAGCTCTGTGCCCCCTGTGTTAGGACCATGCTGAAGCACTCCAACCTTATGAAGGCTGTGGGGGACCAGAAATCCACAGCTTTTCCTTCTAGCAACCTAGCATTCTGGCCCAGGAGTGGGCCCAGGCAGGCCAAGGCCATGACCAAAACAATCTTTCCACTTGGGACACATCTCTTCCCTCTCGGCTAGTACAACAAAAGCTTGATTGTGGCAGAGCCCCAAGCCATGGCAAGCTTAGGGGAGAGCCGTGCCCAGGAGTCTCCTCGTGGGCTTTCCCTCAAGAGTTTCAAGGTAGAGATACCAGGGTGAGGTAACCGGCAGCCAGAAAGCATCTGGCCCAGCCACTGCTCACTCCACAACATCTCTACAGGGCATGGTGGCAGGGGACGCTTCTTGCTCTCTGTGCTTCCAAACCGAACTGGGTCGGGGCTGTGCTTCTGCTCTATTAATAGCCCCCTAGCCCAGCCTGCTAGCCCCAAACCCGGATGCCAGGAGCTGTGAGTCAGCAGCTAAAAATAACGAAGAGCAACTACATCCGAACCCCAATGAGCAGCTCCCCCGGGTCCTCCGCCCTTAAGTTTTTGTCAGTGTCAGTCTGCAGCCCAGGGCCTCATAGAGGTTAAGCCGCTATAGCTGTCCAGTTCTCCTGGGAAGAGAGTGAGGATTTCCGGTGACAGGCTCAGGGCTGCATACCCAAGGCTAGGAGCTAGGAGTAAGGGGTTAGAGGCTGGGGCTAGGTGCCGGCGTTTAGGTTGGGGGCCCGGACGCTCAGGCTAGAGGACCGCAGCTGAGAGTGTGAGAGGCGAGAGCCTGGGGATGCAGGGATGGAGATGCTGGAGGTCTTCAGGGTAAGGTTGGGCAGTGAGGGGAGGAAGAGGCTGCGAGGCTGGGAGAATGGGAAGGGACAGAAAAGTAGGGATGGGGGAGGAGGTACATGCTGAGAGGTGACAGCCTGGCAGTATCGGGCAGACTGGGGGCCCTAGAGCTAAAGCTGGTAGCCAGCCTGACAGAGCGGGATGGCTCCGGAACCGGGAAAAGTAAGGAAACGCAGCTCAAAAAGGCCGAGTGTGGGAGAGACCTGCCAGGTACACAGCGGCGTGGACCACCAGGAAGACCAGGACCTGAGCACTGATTGCGGCGTTCGCTCCTTGCGGGCCTCCAGCCTCCCCGCTCGTTGCACGCTGGCACCCCCGCCCACCGCGCCAGCTGCAGGCCAGGTACGTGGGCGCGGCCGGCCTCCGGAGCCCAAATGTGCAGGGATGCGCACGGAGGGGGCGGGGCGGCCAAAAAGGGAAGGGGTGGGCCCGGGAGAAGGGGGCGGGAACACGGATTCAAACTCGCCTCCGTCCGGCAGGAGACCGGAAATGGCCAGGGGCTCACTGGGAATTGTAGTTCCCGCAGCTGCTGGGCAACCGAGGGTCGGGGAGCGGGTCCTGTCCCGGGGTGCCAGTGCTGCCCCAGGTCCCAGTCTAGCGAGACAGAAGGAACCGAGAACCGGACCTCCCGACCTGGCCATCTCCTTAGTTCGACTTCTCTCCGGGTGAAGATACGAACTAGGTCGAATTTGGGTGTGGCGGAAGACTGTGTGGTTACCACAGAGCCCCCTCTTTTCTCCGTTTTTGCCTTAGCCCCTCCCTGCTTCTACCAGACTTCATCCTCGGTCAGCTCCGCACTGGCCAACTCAGCCGCGGAGCCCAGGGACTCCCGAGCCGCAAACGCATTGGAGAACTTGCTCCTCGAAGGGAAGGCTGGGCCGGAAATCGGACCCTGCGTGCAGCCCAGAGGAGCGAAAACTTGTGGAAATCGGACCTTGCCCTCGGAGTCCTGAGTCAAGGACACGAGTCCCCAGGCGGCACGGAAAACAGGTGGCATTCAGCAAATACGTCACGGCGATGACAGAGGCGGGTGGCCACAAGGTGGAGCTACAGCGCAATCCTGCACCGCGTGCCTGGCCTCCTGACGTCCCCTGAGGAGGCTGCTCTCCCGGGGGCCTCCCGCGGTCCTTCGTTGCCGCAGGTCATTCATCCTCCCACCAACAACCCACTTCCTCCCATCTTCCCATGATGGCCCCTCAAGGTTGTGTCTCACCCAACCCTAGATAGAAGGTGCCTCCTCTCCCCAGCCCCTAAGCCAAAAAGATTAGGCTGTGACCAAATGGAGATTACATTCATTGAGTAATAGATTAAGACAAGATACAGGAACCAACCTGCCTTGAAGGTTGGTTTTTGCCCACAGCAAAAAGCCACCTGTAAGCACGGAATTACGTGGCTAGATGGGCTCTTCAGCAACTAGCCTCTAGGCAGGAAAGCAGCTAAGTTGCAAGGGTCGGAGAATACAGTACATCGTTGGGTGGCGATGGTGTCTCTATCTTCTTATAGTTCTTCGGGAAAGACCATTTTGTCATCTCCTTCAGTCCCTCTTCCAAGCTATCCCACCCCGACACACCCTGTGCCTTCTGTGCAAAAACAGGTGCACACAAGTCTGAGACATTATCCGAGCAATCTCCCTTTTACTTCCTCTGTTCTAGTTTCATTTGGGGAGAAACTTCTCATGACTCACTGTTTTCCCAAACACTTCAGGTCAAAACCCCAAGAGGAGCAGATTCCATAGCAGTTTAGGGAATGCTAATCATCTGGGCAGAGGGCTCTCATGGTTCAAAACCTCCTGTTGGCAAAGCTCCCCCGACTGTAACCCACCACCCCCGAAGCATTCCACTTCAGCCACTCTCCCACCCTTGCTGTTTGGGCAATGTAGACTGGCTTGGGTGGGGAGGCAGGGCAGGGCATTCATTCCATCACGAAATTGTTGATCCTTGTCAGCAGCACTGCTGTTTCTAAGCCTGGGGAGGAGGGGAAGGGTGGGTCATCTAGGGAGTTAAGCAAGGGAAAAGCTATAGGAGGAGAAACATGAGATGAGGGGAGAAAGTTCTTACCAGTTTTCTGTCTCTTCTTACCAAATCTCCTGTGGGAAGAAAAGCTTCACATTGTGAATTCAGCTGGCTTCAAGCAGGCCCTTCCAGCCCCACACCCAGTCCCCCCGAGCTTTCCCACATTCAAGCCAATTTGATAGTATAAGGAAGGGCCTAAGAATCTCAAAGGAACTAAACAGACCCCAAGCCCCGGGGAGCATATTTGAGTCTGAAGCAGCCTCATCACCAGGGCCCTGCAGAAGGTAAGGACCCAGACAGCTGAGGCACAAAGCACTCACCTTCGGAGGAGGAAGATCCACAAAAGCAGCATGGTGGAGACACAATTGGTAATGGCCCACATGATCAGGTAGTTCTGAGGGCTCTGTGAAAATAGGAAAAGGCCTCAAGGGTAGTATGTCGGGGGAAATAAGAAGAGAGGAACAGGGTGAAGGAAAACCAGGATGGGAGAAGAAGAGAAGAGGTGACAGTCCCAGAGCCCTTACAATAAGCCAGTTAGGGTAACGCATCTGCTGTAGCAGCTGGCAGTCATTGGTGGTGACCGAATCCACCCCTGCACACCAAAGCAGGGAGAAGAGCCAGGGCTTGTTCACTACAAATAGGTTCACTGAGACATTATCCTTGTGCAGTGCCCTGTGAAGGTGGGAAAGAAAATAGGGAACATCCAGAATCATGGTGCACAGGCCATAGGAGGCAGCCCCCTGCCTGTGCTTGCATCTACAGTGCCACTGCCCGGGAGGTATCAGTTCTGCCTTTGTATAGCAGCACCTGACCAACCTGACCAACAGTGATTTTTCTCTCATAGCTGAACTCTGTCTTCTGGTGGATTCCACCCAAGGCTCCTAGCTTTACCATCTGGGGCCACACAATGTGTGTCTCCCCTGGGTCCTGAGCAGAGGCCCTGTCTCCCTGAGCCTTCTCTTCTCTAGGCCCCACAGCCCCAGCTCCTTCAGCCATTACTCTTACTATTTTGTTCCCTGTGCAAGCCTCTCTAATATGATATTCCAATTTATCAGTGTTTCTTTGAAAATATGGGGCCTGTCTCTGAAAATAATATCCAAGATGGGCTTGGACCAGCTTTTTTTTTTTTTTTTTTTTGAGACAGGGTCTTGCTCTGAAATGCAGTGGCACAGTCCTGGCTCACTCCCACCTTGACCTCCCGGGCTTAAGTGATCCTTCCGCCTCAGCCTCCAGAGTAGCTGGGACCATAGGTGGGCACCACCACACTCAGCTAATTTGCGTATTTTTTTTTTTCTTTTTTTTTTGTAGAGACGGGGTTTTGCTATGTTGCTCAGGCTGGTCTTGAACTCATAGGCTCAAGTGATCCTCCTGCCTTGGCCTTCCAAAGTGCTGGGATTACAGGTGGGAGCCACCATGCCCAGACAGCTTGGGTCAGCTTTGAATAGAGCAAAACTATCTCCTCCTGTCCTCTGGGTACTATGCCTGTATTCAGGTAGCCCAGAGTCAGGTTAGCCTTTGGTAATGTTACATCCCACTGGTAACTAACTATGCACACAGTTCAAAGCCCTGATCTTCTTCACACATGTTCCTGTTGATGCCAGTGTCTCCTCTCTGGTCTTTGTGCAACTGAAATTCTTTTGGGCACCAAATAGAGGTCTTTAAATCTGTCCCTGCTGCATTTCACCTTGCTAGATTTTTTTTTTTTTTTTTTTTTTTTTGAGACGTAGTCATGCTGTCACTCAGGCTGGAGTGCAGTGGCTCGATCTCAGCTCACTGCAACCTTCGCCTCCTAGGTTCAAGTGATTCTCCTGCCTCAACCTCCTTAGTAGCTGGGATTACAGGCGCATGCCATCACGCCAGCTAATTTTTGTATTTTTAGTAGAGACGGAGTTTCACCATGTTGGTCAGGCTGGTCTCGAACTCCTAACCTTGTGATCTACCCGCCTTGCTCTCCCAAAGTGCTGGGATTACGACTGTGAGCCACCGTGTCCAGCTTCATCTTGCTAGATTCGACCTTTTTACAGCACCTAGAACTTTCAGGGTCTCAATTCCATCATCAGTGTATTCATTACCAATTCACATCTTTTGGAAACATGATCAGCAGTTGATTAGCAGTTGATGTTGACCAGGACAAGACTAAGGTCAGCGCCAAACCCTATGTCATGTCTTCTTATTTGGTGATAACTTGGGGAAAGAAATATTTATGTTGCTAGGTGAGGTGGCTCGTGCTTATAATCGGGAGGCTGAAGAGGGGCAGTGGCTCATGCCTGTAATCCCAGCACTTTGGGAAGCCAAGGCAGGAAGATTGCTTGAGGCCAGGAGTTTGAGACCAGCCTGGGCACATAGTAAGAAAGTGTCTCTTTAAAAAAAAAAATTAGCCGTGCATAGTGGTGTGTGCCTATAGTCCTAGCTACTCAGGAGGCTGAGGTGGGAGGATTACTTGAGCCGAGGAGTTCAAAGCTGCAGTTAGCTGTGATCAGGCACTGCACTCCAGGCTCAGTGACAGAATGAGACCCTATGTCTAAAAATTTTTTTTTAATTAAAATTCAAATTAAAAAAAGAAATATGTATGATAACTCGGCTATCATTCAGTTCACATTTTTCTCTCTGAACACAAGGAACTTATAAGATGCTTTAGCAACCACATGCTTTGAAGTCTGTCATGGCTCAGCTGGGTCAGCTTCTGGGGCTTAGCTCACATCTGGGACTCTCCCACTGCTCTCCCCTCATTCATGCTCTCCTACCCTGAACTCTTTGCTGTGAAATAAAATCCTTTTCATCGCCTGCAAGGTCCTACCCAATTTGGCCCTTGCCTGCTTATCTAGCTTCCCCTTCCCCTTGCTCATTAGGCTGCTGTTTCCGTCTGCAGCTCATAGTTAGCTCCTTGTGACCATTCAGGTCTGAGCTTAGATATCACTTCTTTAACCAGTCTTCCTACTGTGGCTGCACCCACCTCCCTGCCCCAGCCCATCACTCCCAAACCTAACCACTCTTCTACATCTCTCTGTTTTGTTTTCATAACACTTTGCACTTTCCCATATGCATGTATTTTGGTAAGTGGTTTATTGTCTGTTTCTTTCAGTAGCACATGCATTCCACAAAAGCAGGAACCTTGTCTGTCTTATTCGTGTTGTGCCCCCAAAGCCTACAATACTACCTGATACACGGCAAGTGTTCTATACATACTTGTGGCATGAGTGAATGAAGAAGCTTTGCTCTCCCTGAGTTGGTTCTTCCCTGCCTTTAAGCCTCGTGTGATCCCCTTGGTTCCTTTCCTCAAGCACTTACGTGATATCCAACAGTGGCAGATCTTGATAGGGGAGGTTGAGAAACTGGGCCCTCTCAGTTCTGTTGCCTCCCTGATGTCCATATATCTGGCGCATTCCAGGTGCCCGTCGTTGGACGTTAGCCCGGTCTTCATCAGGTAGCCAGAAGACCTGTGGTTCAGGAAGGATGGGTGTGAAGCTGGGGAAGACCTTGGGATTCCAAGGGCAGGGACAGGGGCAGAGAGGTTTGACCACAGAATGGGATATGTGAGCTGGGGCACCCTGGGGCCAGGGACAGTCTCAAAATCATCATCATCATCATGGCCTAGGGAAGGCAGGGTAGGGAGAGGGTGTCCTGTCAACATCACCATGGCTTGGGGAACCCTTGCATTCAGCACCGTCTCCAGTGTCTGAATCACAAAAGTGTCATAGTATGTGTGGTTCTGTGGAGGTCGGCGCAAGTCGAACATGATGGAAAGGTTGAGGGCTGCAGCTTCCTCCAGTAGCTCTTCTAATGCTGGTACTGTCTGACTCTCAGCCTCTTTCTGATCAGGGCCTGCCAGCGGTTTGGCCCCCCAGAAGGGTCGCCTCTATAAGAAAAGACAATTATTTCAAGACCAGAAGAGGCCTCCAGGCCTTGCCCCCATCGTCATTATCTTCACTCATATCTTCCACTTGGTGTCCGGCTTCTTTCCCCTCTGAGCCACAGTCTTTTTCCAAACTGTGACCTTCTTCCAGACCATCTAACATCTTACTCTGGGACCCCAACCTCCTACCTGTCCAGTTTTCTAACTTCCTCTCTCACCACACCTCCTTTCTTTTTTTAAATTTTTTTTCTTTTTTTTCCCCTCCGCCTCCTCCTCACTACACTTCTCTTTGGTCTTGAGGAGACCTCTGCAATCCTGACCCTTCAGTTTCTTCCTAGTTCATCAGCCCCTTTCTAGCTGCACCTACATCCCCTACCCATGGTCCATCCACAGCTTGAACTTTTCCATAGCATTCTCAGCTTCCTTTTTGTTCCACTTGCCCTATAGCTCCCAGACGCTGATTCAGTTCTACAATTTTCTGCCTCTTCTACCTATAAAACTGGGGGCTGAGCACCACCATGGGCAGAGTACACAATGTGGGCTGTTGGCACTGGAGTCCTTAGTTTTTGCTCTGAGCACTGCTTAGCAATCCTTTTCCTTGCTCTTGATTTGCTCCCTCTTCCATTTCCCCTGGTGTTATTCCCAGCCCCTGCCACTCTCCTCTCCTTATTCTTAATGAGTGACCTCACTTCCTAATTGCTGACATGGATAAAGCTAGCTATCTAACACTTATTAAGTACTTACTATGTGCCAGGCACTGTTCTAAGTACTTTATGTGCATGAACTGATATAATCCTCCCAATAATTCTACAAGGTAGGTACTGTTATTATTCCCATTGTACAAATGAGAAAATTGAGGCACAGAGAGACTAAGAAATGCTGCCTGGCGTCACACAGCCAGGAAGTGGTGGAGCCAGGGTTCAAACCCAGACATCTTTTGCTCTTAATCACTCTGGTATAATATGATGTAAAGAGTCAAATGGAAAAAAAGCAAATTGCAAAACAGTCTGCATAATGATTCTATTGTGCAAAATGAGAGAAAGAGAGTGTGTCTGTGTGTATGTGTGTGTGTATGTATACAGATGCAGCTTGACTTACAATGGGGTTATGTCTTGATAAACCCATTTTAAGCTAAAAAGATTGGAAGTCAAAAATGTATTTAATATACCTAGCCTACTGAACATCTTAGTTTAGTCTAGCCTACGCTAAGTTTGCTCAGAACTTACATTAGCCTACAGTTAGGCAAAACTCATCTAACGCAAAGCCTGTTTTATAATGAAGTGTTGAATATCATATGTGATTTATTGAATATTGTACTGAAAATGAAAAACAATTGTGTATGGGTACTTGAAGTGTAGTTTCTACTGAATGTGTATCAATCTCAAATCATCATAAAGTCAAAAAATCATTAAGTGGAACCTCATAAGTCGGGACTGTGTGTGTGTGTGTGTGTGTGTGTGTGTGTGTGTGTGTGTATCCAGCTGTTAACAGTGAATATTTCAGAGGGATTGGATTATGGGAGACTTAATTTCTATGTTATTTCTCTTATTTCTCTGACATTTTACTTTTTACAATGAACATGTATTACTTTTACAATCAGGAAAAGAGGAAATGAAAAAATTTGATATCCTTTTAAATATTTTCTACCACTTACAGGATTGAAGTTGACACTTTTGGGCCAGACATTCGAAGCTCTTCAAGGCCAAGCCTCTGCTCCCTACCACTCTCATGAATTGTCTCTGTCAGTTACATTCAGCCACATTTTATTCCTGGAAACACCCTTTTTCAGACTTCTAGGCTTTACATGTCCTCTTTCCTCTGATCGAGTTCCCATTCCCTGCTTTGTGCATCTTAGGAGCAGACTCTCATGTCACATGCTGCTCTCACAATGCATCCTCTACTGTATGAATCCACTCCTGATTCTCTCCCAGGCAGGAAAATGTTTTTATTGCTCTAGGTTTGCTGAATCGTCTGCTGCCTAGACTCTCTACTAGGTGGGAGTGACTTGAGAGCACAGGCTATGTTCTCATTGCCTAGCACGGGGCTGAGCCAACACTTATCAACAGAATGAACTCTGCCCTCTCTGAGTGTCCCTGCAGGTGACTGCCTCTTTGCAGAGGCTGTCCTCACCTCTAGGAACCAGGCCCCAGCATTGAGTCTCTTCAGTTCAGCCCAGGAGAAGTCACTGCTGTGGGCTGTGGTTCGGGTTGGGAATACAGAGGCTACATTCGTGGTCCTGCTCAGGTGCTCATCATGCATGAGGAAGGGGATCCCGTCGGAGCTGAGGGTACAAGGGGTGTCAGAGGGCCAAGCTCTGGGGCTGATCATCATATCCTTCGGCCCCCCCCAGGTCCCCTAAGCCCCAGCTTCCCTCACCTGATCATCACATCAGTCTCAAACACAGTAGCTCCGCATTCAGCTGTCTTCCGCAAGGACATCAGGGTGTTCTCGGGAGCCAGCTGGGAAGGGGAATCAGTGATGAGGTAGCAGGGGAGGGTGGGAGCCTGGGAACCCACAGGCCTGGCCGCTATAGCACGGGGGAGCAGACCCTCCCCACCCTCCCAGCGTTCTGTCCAACACTCACCATGGGGGCCCCTCGGTGTCCCACCAGCCCAGGCTTGGGTGGTAAGTCCGTGGGTTCCATGATGCAGGGTGAGGAGATGTATAGGGGGGCCAAGTAGATGACCAGGACAACTCCAAAAAACAGGAGCAGTAGCAGAATCTTGGGACCTGTGGGGAGTGAGGGACAGGCTTTTAAGAATGGACAAGGGGAGAGTTCTGGGGACAGAGGCAGAGTGCAGGTGGCAGAGCATGAGTGGCCAGAAAGGATGAGTGGGGCGGTGGCATTGGCACCTCTTCGGTGGATACGGTAGAAGGTATCAGCCACAGGCCAGGCCAGGAGGGTGATTCCAGCGACTGCTCCAACATGAAGGAATGGGGCTGTGGCCTGTGGACAAGAGCTGGTGAGGTGGGCTCTTCTCCAAGGCCCCTCCCCGCTTTCCTCTTAGGGCCTGACTATTGGAATTTAGAACTACCTGTAGTCTTGGGGGAACAGGAGCAAGATATGTTCTAGGGTTGGCTGCAAGCCAAGGCTCCCGCCTAGACACTGGAGATTGGCCACTCACCTGCAGTGACACACGCAAACTATGCCACTCCTGCTGCCATTGGATGTCCAGTCCCACAAGGCCAGCGGCCACGAGAAGCATAATGAGGAGCAGCAGCACCTGGGGGGCCAGGGATGAATGGGGCCTCTTGGTCAACCTGGGCTCATGGTTGCCTGGGCTGCTCCTTCACTCTATGGAGACGGGACCTGACCCTTCCCTTCCCCTGGCACATCTGCTTTCCTCCTTTCACTCAACAAATATTTACTGAGCTTCAGGTCCTGGGTTTGACCCCCTGGGAGTATAAAAGTGAGGTCCTCAGCAAATAGCCAAGTGCTGGGCCCAGTGGCTCCCTCTCCCATGCACTCCCATCCCTACTGTACCTTGTGGAGGCTGTGCAGATGCAGGGGCTGTCTACAAAGCTGCAGGAGCAGGGCCAGGACCTGGAGGCAGAGGGTGGTGGGACTTAAGGGGTGTCAAGAGGGGAACGAGTTTACTGAGGTGGGCTTCCCAGGCTGGTACCTCCCTCCTATGCAAGAATTAGTCCCCTCCCTCAGTAGCCAGGATGAGAATAGGAAGCTAGAACTAAGCAGGAAGGAAGGCTGAGGTGTGGGTTAGGCCAGTGGCCTCTGGACCCACCAATAGCAAGGATGCATATGTGACCAGTAGAGAGATGACCAGCAGGAGTGCCAGGGACCAGTCCATCCAGCGTCCCCAGCGGCGGAAGAGGAATCTGTGGGAGGGGAGAGGGAGGTGTCCAAGGGGGGGGAAGTGGTGTCAATAGTGGCCTGAGGGGAGTCGGGATGGGTAGATCCAGGAGGACTAGAACGGAGTGAGGAGAAAGCCCCTCACGGGGCCAGGGGCTTCAAGGATTGAGGAGATTTTGTAGAGGGATTTTCCAAGGAGAAGCAGGGCTGGGGGATGACTGACAATGGGACACCCAGGGGTCCCAGGGTGGGGAGCAGGTTGAGAGCTAGGCTGGGGAAGCAGGAGGGAATCCATGACACACTCATTGAAGTTGTGCAGGTCATTGAGAAGGACGAGCCCGATGTACAGCCAGCTCAGGGAGAGCAGGAAGGTGAGGAAGAGCAGGCCAAACCAGATACAGTCACACTGCAAAGGGGCAGGAGAGAAGCTCACAACCAATACCTACTTCAAGCTCAGAGTCCCCAACGGATGGCAGCTGAAGGGAGCTGCCTGCCGCATGTTGGGCTGCTCTGCTCAAGGGCAGCTCTTTCCATATTTGAGGGAGATTTTCTTCCTGGGAGAGAGAGCCCCTTCCCCCAAGCTGTCTATGAGCACAGGTGGCCTTCTCATCCCCTCCAGTGGGCGTCTGCCTTCTGACTTTCAGCCTCCCCCCTCCATCCCTACTCCACCTTGCTGGTTTGCATCCTCTCTCTGGGGCATTTCCTCCAGTGGCAGCTATACAGGCAGTGGAGGCAGCGGGCCCAGACGGAGCAGCAGCCGAGGGACTCGGCCATGGTGAAGGCCTGGGGGAAGGGACACTCGGCCATCAGGGACCCTGGCAGAGGGCAGATCCCAGCCTCCCTCCCAGTGTATCTGAGGGGCCCGGGGGAGGGGCAGAGGCCTGGGCTGCTGCTCAGCAACGGAGGTCACGGGGCAGGCCCAGAGTGCCAGACTGGATGAGGCCGAGCAGCCCTAGCTGCAAGCCTGGCAATGGGAGACAATCTCCAGAGCCTTCCTTTCCCTCTAATCTTGGTATCTGGAGAGTCCATGGGACACGCAAGAGGTCCAGCCTCTTTTGGGGCAGGCTGCATACCCACTCTCTGCAGCTGCTCCCCAGTTAACAGCACACACCTCTGGGGATGGAGTGCTTGCCCTGGAGTTAGGCACTCAAGAGAAACTGCCCAGGGTGGGGCAAACTAAGTTCAGCAAGTTAAAGCAGGTTTGGCCAAGCTGGAGGCAGCCCCATGTTGAATTGCTTTCCAGCCCAGGAAGCAGGAGTAACCTGCAAAGTTTCCAGTTCTGACCTGGGGCTATGGAAGACCCAGCTACTTGGTCAGTTGCTATGGATATGGAGATTGTTCAGATCACAAATCCCTGACTGAAAGATTCTCTGTGTCCACCTCCCAGGGGACAGAGGGCACTGCCAAAAAGAGGAAGACTTGAGGTGAATATGTTGCCCGGGTCACTCCCAGCCTTCTAAAGGAATCTTTGAATTTTCAGAATCCAAAGTCTCCCTCTCAAGTCCTGCCCTTTCCTGCCCAGTCATCCCCCACCCCAACCAGAAGCCCAGAATCGCCTTCAGGAGCCCCACCCTCTACGTTAGCTTCGGTGAAAGTACAACCAGCATAGGGCAAAGGTGTGTATGCGGGGTGTGGTTGTCTTAGGGCAGCGGACCCCTGTACCTTATGCTTCTGGGTTTGGCTGACTGAGCTGATCCCAGACTTGGCTGGATATGTGACTGATTCTACACTAGAGGGTGTGTGATTTGTGTCAGCATTTGTGTTTGCACAACTGGCTTTCATTACAATACGATTTTAGGTGGCTTTGAGTATGTAAAGGAGCCCCTGGATACACCCAAAGTGTGTGAGTTTCAGTGCGTGTGGGCTGAGGGACAGGACCACTTGTCCTCAGAGCTCCCCCAAGGCTGTGGAATCTTAGAGGGGTGCACAGTGGCTGGGTCCGGTAAGGAGGAAGGTGTGGCTGCTTCTGAACTGCCCTCTTTATGCTGCCTTGGAAAGGAGGGTTAGGGTAGGGGTGAGGAGCTGGAGCTGGGGGAAGGAAACCTCTCCCCTTCCGAGACCCTTCCCGGTAAAAAGCCAACCCAAAGGGAAGCCCTTGCCTCTGCCCATCTTGGAGCTGCTTTGACAGCCTGCCCTGCTCTTGCCTCCCCTGGGGTCCTACCCCTGCACACCAGACACTGCCTTCCAGAGTCCCCCTCCCTTCAGGAGCTGTCTGTAGGATGGGATCAGGGGCTGAGCAGCCTGAAAACCCCAAGTAGGGGAGCTGACAGAGGTGCCATTCAATCCCCAGGCCTAATCCCTGTGAGATGGAGCTGGTCTCTGCTCCACAGCTCCCGCCTCTAGCCCCCCCAGCCTTCCCAAACCCTCACACCTTTGCTCAGCAGCAGCTCCACTCCGCTCTGCTCTCTGTACTGCTTCCCAGCTCCTCTCCGAGTGGTCTGCCTCCTCCCTTTTTCAGTCTTCGGTTCAGCCCTCTGAGTCAAACAGGTGGCACTGTTGCCACCTACAGGAGGCTGTGTGGGTCCTCTCCCAAGGCCTGCAGCCGCTCTGTGGCCTGGGCACAACCCGGGTGGGAAGATGGGAGGGAGGAAAGGGGAGGGAGAACAAATCTGCTTCTTTACTCGCTGGCGGTCAGGGGGCTTGGGGTGAGGAATTCCTTTGTGCAACTTTTCCCATCCCTCTATCCCTCCTCCAGTTCCCCTCCCAGTCACTGCTGGGGCTTTGTCCTGGCTCAGGGAGGTGAGGGCTGAGGGCACAGGCAGGCGGGAAGCTGGGGGGGAGGTGACCACACAACTTTGCAACTTGGCAGTGAGGAGAAGGGGCCCAGCCAGCCCACTGGAAAGGCGTGTGTGTGTGTGTGTGTGTGTGTGTGAGAGAGAGAGAGAGAGAGAGAGAGAGAGAGAGAGGGAGAGAGAGAGGAAGTCTAACTTCGTCTCAAGCTCCTTGGGAGTATAGCCTTGATTCTTTAGGCTTCCTCCCCTCTTGAGCTCCTACTTCTAATTCAGTAAGGTAAGGTGCATCTATAAGAAGCTGCAGCCCAGCGTGGTGGCTTACACCTGTAATCCCAGCACTTTGGGAGGTAGAGGTGGGCAGATCACCTGAGGTCAGGAGATCGAGACCAGCCTGGCCAGCTTGACGAAACCCCATCTCTACAAACAATAGAAAAATTAGCCAGTCGTGGCGGTGTGGACCTGTCATCCCAGCTACTTGGGAGGCTGATGTGGGAAGACTGCTTGAGCCCAGGAGGTCAAGGATGCAGTGAGTTGAGATAGTGCCACTACACTCCAGCCTGGGCAACAGAAGCTATAAGCTACTTCCTGAACTCTGGACAGCAAGTTGCCCTTTTCTGGACCGGAGGTCCCCATGAGCCTTGTGGATCCTGGGTGACACTAGCAGTTCTCCCTTTCCCTCATTACCCCAGACAGGAGATGCTCACTCAGGAGCTGCTAAGACTTGTGTCATTTCTGGTGCCTTGTCCCTAAGGCATGAGTCTCTTTCCAAGAATCCTTTGAGGAGTGTAGGGTATATTGGGGTCACAGGCTTTTGGAAGATGAACACATACAAAAGATGCTGTTACTATAGCATCAGCATCAGCAGGGAAGGGCTGGCTAGCATGCTATACGGTTTGCTTAGTGCTGAAGTACAGGGGTCTGGGTGGGATGGGGGTCAGGGGCTGGCTTGACTGACCTCTCCCTCTACATTACGCCTGATGTAGTGACTTGAGGTCTAGGGGCTATTAGCGCAGTGTTGGTGGGAAAGGATGTTTTCTCTGTGGATAAGCCTGCTTGCCCCTCCCCCAACACACACTGGATTTCAAACAGCGAGAAGGAAGACTGGCTCTCTTATGCCAAGAGCCGGCCCCCCTCCCTCTCAGCCTTCCCATTGTATCCAGAGGCTCTAGTTGGCAATGGCAGAGGCTCCCTTGCTCCCTCGGCATTAAAATGCAAAGAGAAGCAGGGCTGCTTGCTGGCAGGATGCCAGGGAGGGCTAGCAGGTCACCTAGTACATTGCAGGCTTCATTCTAGGCAGATTGTTGCTCAATTCTTTTGCTTGGGCTCTGGTGGATTCTAGGAGTCTTGGCTTTTGAGTTTTTGGGGATGATTTGGGAGCTTTTTTAGGGAGAAGGGTTCTGGGATTCAAAATGCATGGATGTGAAGCCCAGGGCTTTGGAACTCCTCAGAAGGCTACAAGGCTGGTCAGTAGCCTGTGTATGGCATCCTAGGGCTGGCCCCCTTTTAGCTTTAAGCAGAGATGGAGAACGCTGATGCATTGTAAGGTGTAAGCATCTTTCAAAGGAGAAAGCAAGGAGTCCGTGCTGTTCTGTCCTGGGACTGGACAGCAGTGTGGTGCAATGCTTCTCCTACACTAAGAAATCAGGCTGCAGGGCATTAGAAGTGGCCGCTGCTGGCACTCTATTAGAGAGTTGGCTAGAATGAAGAAGCTTGGATGGTAGCTCTGCGTTCAGGTGATAGCTCTATTACTCACTAACTTTGTGACTCTGGGTAAGTTACTTAACTTCTTTGTACCCCTGTTTCCTCATCTGCAAAATAAGGACATCTGTCTAGGTTGACTTTGTGTGTGTGTGTGAAAAACAAATAAAACTGTGGCAAGAACATGGAGATGGTTAGTAAATGTGGTTTCTTCCTCCCAAATCTGGAAGCCAGGCAGGTTCTACAGCGGTCAGGCCACTGGCCTCGCTAATGCGATTCCAATTTCCTAGGGTAGCAGAGCAACATAAAGACCCGTCACACTCCACACTACCCTCTGGGAAAGAGGGCAGCTACAATAAGGCAAGGAGGCTCAGGTACTTGAAATCAATCTCCTTAATAGCTACGCCAGGGGCTGAGGAACACAGGTTGAAATTTTATTTCTCCCTCGAGCACAGAAGGACCTTCCCAAACAGTATATAAGCTAAGGTTTATTTACTTACTTAACATTTAAAAATAGTTCATTTACTTCGACAACATGGCAGACAGTCAAGAGTACTATTGAAACACTTAAGATTCAGAGAGGGTCAGGACAGAAAAGATCACAGCCCCATTCCTGAGGTGGAGTGAAAGATCTAAGCCAGGCCTCCATCCTAGGCCAGGCTCCTCCATTAAACAGAGACAACCAAAAGATAGGAAAGCCATCAGGAGACAGCATGAATTGCTCACAAATAAGAAAGAACTTGACCATACTGAGGGCTGGTTCCTGATGAGTCATTAGGAAAGTCAGTTGGTTCTCTCTTTAGTAGGTGGCTTAGTACCCTTCTGGAGAACAGAGAACAGTAGTCTGGGGCTGCAGGCTGAGGGTCAACATCCAACAAAGGTTACTTTCTTTTCAGTAATGCTTTGTTCTTTTTTACAACAGCAAGAAACCTGAAATCCAGGAGTCATTTAAAAAACCCCTTCTGGCTGCAACCTGAAAGCATCTCCCAGGCCAGACTGGGGGTAGAGATGATGCCTCCAACTTCAGTGGGCCTCTTCTTCAATAGGGGAGCAGCCAGAGAAGAAGCTGGTGTTGCTGGCCAGAGCTCGTTTCTTTTTCTTCCCTGGAGCCTTATTTTCTTGGTATTCTGTTACTACATGTTTCAACTCTGGGAGGTCAAAAGGGGAGGGAGGTGAGGCAGTCTTCTTTGACAGCACTTGCTTCATGTCACACATCTCTTTCAGGATCTAGGAGGGACAGAGACAGGTATGAATAGACTTTAGAAAGGGCAGAAGCTCAGCCCAGCTGAGCTGCTATAGATGCTTGACATAGTCCCAGTGGTATGAGGTGTTCTTTAAGATTGTTCTGTGGAAAAACTAGACTCTAGTTTATGTGCAATCCCTAGTCTCAGCAAGCTGATTATACCTTTACTCCATCTGCCTCTCTCCTACTGGTCTATCATAAATAATGCAGAGAAGGATGCTAATCCAGTTTTCCAATGCCTGCCTTTTAGCCCACCTACCTTGCTATTGGGGGTGGCACAGACAGGGTTAAAGAAGCTCAATCCTGGAGTCACCTCGGTAGGATCCTCCAGTTTGAAGGAGCCTTCGGAATCCTGGGTCCGTTCAGTTGTGCTCAAGCTATCCTGAAAATACAGGCATATTATAAATTTGGCTACCGAGGTTACAAAATCAGTCTGTTTCCATTCAACCAAAGAAGTAAGTGCCTGATTAGTCAGTCGAAACAAGCCTTAGGGAGGCCCTGCTTGGGGAGGTCTTAGTATTTGACATGCTCTGTCCCTGAAGGAATGGAGCAATGCTTGTAGGTAGCCTCTGAAGGCAAAGAATAGGCAGTGGCATGGGACATCTCACAAGGCCAGGTTTAAAGCAAAGACAAGCCTTGGCCGTTTGTTTGACTAAACTCCCCCTCTCTACAATTTGCAATATCCCTTTTGGCATCCATACAGGGTGTTGCCTGTATTGGTATTCCTTTCAGTTAAGGAAACTGAGTCCGAGAGAGAGAGAGGGGAGGAGGGAAGGACTGCCTCTCTGCCTGGAGGCCCTTTCATGGAGCTACTACATGACTCTTGAACCCAAATTGAAAAACCACAGGGATAGAGAATACTTCAGGTCTCTGCTACTTTTATAGTTCTTAGCCTGACCTCTGGCTTGCCTATCTATGTTAGAAGACTTTGTAATAGAACACGCAGGATGAAACTCTTCACATGTAGATGTTCAAGAAATGCATGATTCATCATCATTAGATCGTGCTCGCTAGAATTACTGTATATCACATAGAGAGCTGGAGTAATGCATTTTTGCTATGGCACAGGTAGGTGTAAGGCAGGTATAGGGATCTGACTTGCTTGGTGCTGCTTTTCTCAGGGCACATTTGATTTTCCTGAGTTTGCCATTCCTGGGAACAATAATAAGAGGACATTCAGGTTAACTTAGTTTACAACAGTGACTATTAGAAAGGCCTGGTTCCTGTGGATCTTTTCCTAGAGCTAAGAAATAGCTAGCTGGTTCCCATGGAGAGAGTCTAAGTAACGAATGTCTCAAGATGTCGGAAGGATTAACTTCTTGGAAGCTGCTACCTCAGTACATGGCTCTTACAGTTCCAGTTAAACCTCTGGACTAGTTTGATCCTACATGTCTATATGCCTGTGAATGACTGCTTTCTTGTCCTTGTTGTCTCATCAACAGTACAGAAACTTTACAGCCAAGGCTTGGGGTAGGGAGCTATATACCTGGGAATCTCCTGGGAAGTACAGTGGTTTCTGAAAGGGGTATGTGAACAGGCAAGCAGCAAGGAAAAAGGATTGAGAAGTGAACTGTCTCTTTTTCTGGGTGAGGAGGGAAGGAGAAGGGTAGGAAGAACTGTGCAGCAGACTCCAGGTTTCAGGACAGAAGGCAGAAAAAGCGGGTGGAAACTCGTGGAGGTCTGAAAGGATGGGGAGAGGAAACAGCACTGATTCTACCTTGCCTTGCTGGCGGTTCCGACACTTTGCGGGGTCACAGCTACAGTCCACACTACAGTCTGACTTTTGCTTCCGGCACCCACACTGCTTGTTTCCACACCAGCCCTTGCAGTTACACTGCAAAACAGGTTTGCAGAAAGACACATTACTGAAAGGGTTAGAAGACTAGTTTACAATGACTTCCCTTCATTCGCAAGCTTTTCTAGAAAAAATAGAAAGTACTATTATCTACCAAGCTTCAATCTCCTTAGTCCTCTCTTCTTTAGTGAAACAG